CAGAATGGTGGCATTGTTCTAGATTAAAAGAAATATAATAATAAAATGGAATGTTATCTCCCTCCTCCCATGCCCCAACTGTGACATCTTTCAGGCTCTTTCACATTGGAAATCCATAGGAGGAGAGCTGGGAGGTTGACCTCAACTCTGGTGGTGTGTGGTGTAGGGGGACGGAGGTGGGGTGAGCACAGTGGTGGTTGTGATGGTGATGGTGGAGTGAACTCAAGACATTGTGCTTGTCAAGTTAGTGGCTTAAGCCACTGAACTCTCTTCTGAGTTCTCCAAATATGTGATCTTGATTGCATTCTGCTTTGGAAAGAAAAAACTATAAAAGACATTTTGTGGAGCTAGGAATGTGGCTCAAGGAACAGAGCACAGGCCTTGCATGAGTGAGACCTTGGGTTCATTCCCTAATACTGTATCCTCTATCTAGCATAGGTAGAAGTGATCTGGTGATCCTCAAGCACTAATGGCCCAAACACTATCAAGACTGGTTTCTCCACTACCACCACCACCAACAATAACGAGAAGACATTTGGGACATCATTAGAGACATTTAAATGTAAACTGAATATTAGGGAGTTATAATTAGCTTAAATTTGACAATGATTTTGTGAATATGTATGCAGGTGTACTTAATCTTAAGTGATGCATTTTCAAATATTAAAAAGTAAAGTATCAGGCCCAGAGATAGTTCAATGGGCTGAAATGTATGTTTTGCATGCAGGAACCCTAGGCTTGATCCCTGGCACCAAACGGTACCCTGAGCAACATTGGAAATGACTCCCAAGCAGCCCTGAGTGTGATTTTAAAACAAAACAAAAAAGCAATAACACAACAACAATGCACAGTATCATGATATTTAAAAATAAAGGCTTAGAAGTAAAACCTCAGGGGCTGCACAGTGATAGAAAACATATGTGAGGACTTGGGTTTGATCCTCAGCGAGACACACCACCAAGTGAAAAGGACATAAATGAGGAGAGAGAAATAGTGAACATTTTAATAAGTAGAAAGTGGAAAAAACATTTTTTATTAAAAAATGTTTTTATTGAATCACCATGAGATAAACGCTTACAAAGCTGTTCATGATTAGGTTTCAGTCATACAATATTCCAATATATATCCCTCCACCAGTGTACATTTCTCAACACCAGTGTCCCCAGGTTCCCTTCCATCACTCTCTCTCTCTCTTTCTCTCTCTCTCTCTCCCTCCTCTTTCCTTTTAGGCATTGTGGTTTGTAATAAAGATTACAACTGAACCTTTACCGGAAAGGTTATCATATATATCCCTTTACCTCCTTTATGTAATATCCCTTTACCTCCTTTCAGCTCTCAGTTCTTTTTTTTTTCCTTCTTTTTTTAAAAAATTTTTATTAGTACAGTTGTAGATTTACAAATTTTTGTGCTTGGGTTTCGATTATACAATGATCAAATACCCATCCCTCCACCAGTGCCCATTTTCCACCACCATGGATAATATCCCTCCCACCCCCATCCCCCCCATTCCACCCTGCCTCTGTGGCAGAGCATTTTCCTTTGTTCTCTCTCTCCTTTTGGGTGTTGTGGTCTGCAAAAGAGGCATTGAGTGGCAGACATGTTCAGTCCATAGTCTACTTTCAACATGCATCTCCCCTCCTGGGAGGATCCTCCAAACACCCTTTTTAAAATCTCATCAACGGCCGTGATCCAGAGACTCATATATCTCTCGTAAAAGAGCATAAAATGACTCGCCGTAGCCATGCCGCTGCCAGATCCCAGGCCTGGCTGCTTCATTCAGGGCAACCTGGAAGGGGGCTGGTGAGTTCTCCTCCTTGCCCCAAGGACCAGCTCTGGCAGCCGAAAACCTCCAGAACTCAACTGCTCAGGTGCTCACAACCACTCTCTGCATGCTAGGGCCGAGCCTTATTGTGAGAGAACCTATTCCTGGACATCTCATACGTCACACCACTCATATTCCAAGAGGAGTGCACCACATTTGGTGGGGTTTAAAGTTGAAGGGAGGGGCTGGAGCGATAGCACAGCAGGTAGGGCCTTTGCCTTGCACGTGGCCGACCCGAGTTTGATTCCCAGCATTCCATATGGTCCCCTGAGCACCGCCAGGAGTAATTCCTGAGTGCAGCAGCTCTCAGTTCTTGACCACAGTGATCATTTCCAACTATCATTGTCATAGTGGTCCCTTCTCTGTCCTAACTGCACTCCCTTCACCACTTGTGGCAAGCTGCTGCACTTGTCCTCCTGGGGAATTATCTCATTCTGTTTCAGTTCTCATAAACTGAAAAGAAAATACACAAATACACATACATACCCAAATATATTTATTTATAAAAATAAATTTTCTGGGCTGAAGCAATAGTACAGCAGGTAGGGCACTTGCCTTGCATGCAGCCAACACAGGTTCAATCCACAGCACATCTTAAGGTCTCCTTACTCCCTCTAGGAGTGATCCCTGAGCGTAGAACCAGGAGTAAGCCTTGAGCACCACTGGGTGTGGCCCCCAAACAAACAAACAAACAAACAAACAAATAAATTTTCTATTTGGGTTTCTACCAGAAAGGTTTCCTTTGTAGGCTCTGCCACTTCAGCTCTTGTGTTGTTTGTAGCTGTTCTCCCATCTGTAAAAGGAAGGAATTCATCTACAACTATTTTCATAGTTTCCTCCTTTTAAATTATGTCCCTAACCACTCCTTCTGTTAAAGTGTGAGCAGGGTGGGTTTGGAGTGGCATTTAGATGTCACTGATCTCTAAATTCATGGATAAGCCTCTACTAGAATAGTTATGTTTTTCTCTTAAATAATTTTTCTCTAACATCTTCAGACATGGGTTGGAGAGAGCTTGATCAAGGCTGACCTCATGCTTTGTATGTCAGAGGCCTACATCTAGGACCTACTCACCTATCCTTTGGTAAGTGTTTCCCTGGATCCCAATGGAGCATGGACCATTGAAGCTGGTGGTCAATGCTTTTAAATAAGGCCTTTTAATAGTAGGAGAGGCTGGACTTGTGTTTTTTGCTGCTTAATTGCGTGCTCATGGATTAAACACAGTCACACAATGGAAACGGGAATTCTGGGAAGGTCTGAAATCTAGGCTTCCACTGAGAGAGGATTTCAGAGAACCTTAAATCATTTGGTTTCTCTGGGTTCATTTTTGGAAGACTACTTGGTAGAAAATAAAGGGTTATGCACAGATGGGGAAATGCTTTTTTTGAGGGTGACTGTGCTAACCCCAACTAGAATGCCAAAGAGAATGAGTAATAACATGAGCTGCCCTTTAAACATGACATCATTCATTTGTTGGGTCCCATGTTAAGGAATTTAGCCATCATAGCAACCCTGTGAGAGAATGACTGTTTTGACTGATGAGAAAAACCGAGGTTGTGAGAAGCTGTACGTCACAATGGAAAGAACCATAGAGCTATGTCCTGCCAGCAGCTCTGGTCCTTTTTTCTTTTTACATTTGGGCCGTATCTGGCAGTGCTCAGGACCTACTCCCACCTCCTATCTGCTCTGTGCTCAGAACTTACTCCTAGCAGGACTCAGGGGCTCATATGTGGTACCAGGGATCAAACCCAAGTTGCTGCATGCAAGGCAAATGCCTTATCCACTATACTATCTGTCCAGCTCTCAGATGCAGTGTTTTAAGGTGAGAAACAGGAGCCAGAGAGGTATAAAGGTATTTGCCTTGCGTGCTGTCAACTCTGTTCAATCCTGGAGCCATGCCAGGAGTGATTCCTGAGCATAGAGCCAAGAGTAAACCCTGAGCACAACCAGGTGTGGCCCTCAAACAAAACAGGGCCAGAGAGATAGTATAAGGGTTAGAAAACTTGCCTACCACAAAACTGACCCAGTTCCATTCCTGGCACTATGCTCTCTCAAGCCCTGCCAGAACTGATCTCTTAACACAGAGCCAGGAGTAAGCCCTGAGCACTGCCATGTGTGGCCCCCAAACCCAAAACTAAAAAAACAAATTAAAAAAGCTAACCAAATGAACATAAGCACAAAGCCAAGGACCAGTAGAGGATTCCCCACTGAAACCAAGTTTTAGGCTTGCTCTACTTCACAACAACTTTACAAAAATCAGTGGGAGATGCTGAGAGTACCTTGAGATTTTGCCATCTAATATAGCAGCAGAAAAAAAATAAAATTTTTATGTAGTGGGATGGTGTCTTTGAAAAGTATGTTCTAGAAACCTTCCTAAAAAGCCAAACTTGGGTGCCTGTGGTTGATGGTGTAAAGGGTGGATGGAGGCTACCCCAGGGTTCGGAGAGCAGGAAAGGTTCTTAGATCCATTGGCATATCCTGAGAGGTGTGCATTGTGTTGAGAATCAAGTGGGATTACGGAGGACTCCATTCTGTGTGAGTCAGTCTATGGTGGGGCTCAGGGTGCAAGGACAGAGGAAGATAAGCCCCAACCTTCCTCCCCTTCCTTCCCCTTCCCTCACACCACCTCCCTCCTTCTCCCTAACTTCCCTCACTTCTGCCCTCCCCCACATCCCCCTCCCTCTCCTCCCACATTATCTTCAGCCCTCCATCTCTACCTTCCCATCACCTTCCTCCCCTTCCCCACCCCCTCTTTCCTCTCCCTCTCCCCTCGGCCACCTCCTTCTTCCCTTCTCCTTTCAGTCTCCCCCTTCTCCTTCCCCGACCTCCCTCACCCTGCACACCTCCCCACCATGTCCCTCTTCCTGTTCCCCCAACCCCCTTCATCTCTCCCTCCCCAAATCCCCCATCCCTTCCCTCCTCCACCCCACCTGCCCTCCAAATCCCAGCAGCCATGACCTGTGACGAACGTAGCCTAACATTTTCACCATTTTACATGCAATTAATTTTATTTTTTAAGCTTAGGTTATTATGCTAAAAATTCCTGCGACCCTCTTTTTCACTTGTCTTTTTTTCCTTAATTTTCTTTCATAAAAAAAATCATCATCTGGATTTTACCAACAAAACTTGAAAGTTCATATTGAAGTCGGGTCAATACCAGATGAGGTTGGTCGAGATGTTTCACACCGGCATCGTTAAACGGACCTCTCTCTCATAGAGGTCAGGGATCACACCCGCTGGAGAATTGACCATGTGCACTGTGTTCTTGTTGAACAGCTTGAATTCATAATGGATGAGCTGCTGCCAAAAGCCATTGTTGGGCCGGATGATGGGACGGCAGGCTTTGGTCCAAGTGTGGGCGTCTAGCAGGGTCATGGAGTGGTACTTCATCAGGTAGGCCAAGCAGAGAGCAGCTGATCGACTCACTCCGGCAGCGCAGTGCATCAGTGTCCGACCCTGCTTCATTTCAACGCTGTGAATGTGGTCAGCAATGGGGTCAAAAAAGTCATAGAGGCGTGAGGTAGGAGAATCAGAAATCGGCACCTGCACGTACTGGATGTCCTCAAAGAAGATGTTGACCACTTCCACAGAAACGTTAATCACGGTGGTGATGTGATTAGTGGCTAGAGTTAATTTATTGTTGGCAGCCACACCATTACTGATAAAGAGACTGTTGGTTATTTGGGACAGGCCATACAGAGTGGACAGTCGGAGAGCTGAATTGGTGTTGTAGGATGATGTGGGTGTAGTCATTAAAGCGGTTGGTCTCTCTGGGACAGTTCTAGGTACCACTCGAGCAGCGAGTTCAGGAAGCAGCAGCAGCCGCAAAGTCTCCGGTGAGGGTCTGTGGGACTGAAGGTCAGTCTCTGTTACGAAGTGTCGCAGGTTCCTAATGTCACAATCCCCTTTGACAAGAGTTCTGGTTTCCATGCCAACGACCAGACCAGGAAGAGACACTGGATTCTTTGTGTTTGGTTCTTCTTTTATTTATATTGGTTTGGGACCACACCCAGTGGTGCTCAGAGCTTACTTTTAATTTTGCCCTTTGGGGGACCATATGGGGTGCCGGGCATCAAACTTGGATTGGTCTCATGCAAGCCAAACGTCCTATTCGCTGTATCTGGCCCCTGTGTTTTTATTTTTTGTTTACAGAAATCTAATTTTAGGAAAGTGAGGTGACAGAAAGAGAGGGAACAGGAAGGTGCGAAAAAGAGAAACAGTTAAAGAAGACAATACGGTGTCACGGGGAAGCAGGGGAAGGGCGGAACCCCTATACAAACCTCAGGTTAAGATGTGGCCAAGGCTCCAAGGTGAACAATCCTTAATGCAGTTTAAGGGGGAAAAAGGTGGGGGGGCGAATCCCGCCAGAAGTGATCCTTGAGAAAAGAGCCAGGAGTTAGCTCCTAGTACTGTGATGAAACAACCGAAAAAAAAAAAAAAGAAATTAAAAATGAAAGAAAAGAAAAAGTTACTCATCTCAGATAAGAGATGGGGAATGCCGTCTCTCTTTGCTTTTTAATTTTGGTTCATAGTAGTTTCTTTTGTAAGGCTTAAATCTCACACATATGTTTTCAAATGTTTTATTACAAAATATCTATTTTATGCCTCAGTTTTTGGACCACACTAAGCACAGGATCAAGGTAGGCCAAGCAGACCATTTTATTGAAGGACCTGCACTATTTTGCACTTTTTCTGCAAACCAGCACTAGAATATTTAAGTTGAGGAACATCACTTGACTCACAATCCTCTAATCTCTCTGAAAGTGCAGCGAGATATGGGTCTGGTTGGGCTTCACGGGTTGGCCTGATATTTCTTTGGTGATTGTAGCCATAGAATTCTGCTGCTGTTTAAAAATACATCAAGCCTAATAATAAGGGAACATTGCCTTTGTTTATTGTGAACTTGACCTGTGACGGACACTGGTGACTGTTCTGGTCCTTTTGCATACACAGCTCAAATGATTTATCAGGATTCTGCTTCATCACCTGGAGCAACAGCACAAATTATCTTGTGGAGTTTCCAAAAAGAATGCCCACATGCTATGAGTCATCTTGACTAACAGACTAACATGGTCCCTGGATCACTGCTAGGAGCTCCAGCAATTTGAGCTCTCTTCCCAGGCCCTGAATTAGTATTGTGGTCAGAAATAACTTTTCCGTTGGAGAAACCCAATCTTTGTGGCGAGGCAACCATCTAATTGCAGAGCATTGACAATTGCATTATTTTTATAATTAGACAAATTACTTGAGTTGCCCTCTTCTCTCCTTGGAATCCCAGACTTCTTCCCATTCCTTAGGATATATACAAGCCCACTTTTCCTCACTGAACTTGGAATCCTCATTTCTATGTAGATATCTCATACATATATAGTTAAATTTGATTTTTCTCTTACTAATCTGTCTGGTGTTGTTTTGATTGGTCAATGAGACCAAGAAGAAGCCAGCAGAATAGGAGGAATTTTCTCTCTGTCCTTAGGGTATATATCATATCAGATAGGTTACGGATGACTTTAATCAATCCTGTATGTGAAACTATTAGATATATAAATCAGTCCTAGATAGTAAGAGTTCAACGACTGTCAGATATTATTTAGTATTATATGTGAGTTCTGGGATTAAGGGGATTGCCCTTTTCTTGTCTATATTTTTCAAACTTCAAAAATAACTTGTGTGGATCCAGGGGGATAGCTCAACAGGCTGAGCTCAAAATTTCTATACTATAAACCCAAGTTTGATCCCTGGTACCACGTGGTTCACTTAGCACTGCTGGGAGTGATCCTGGAGCACAGATATGGGAGTAGCCCCCTGAGCACTAGTAGTTATGGCTCTCTCAACAAAAATAAGACCCCCCAAATAATTTGTATTATTTTTGTAATTAGACAAATAAAAAATTAAAAATGTACTTATATGTCATTACCTAATCTTCCTCCCTCTCCCTCTCCCTCTCCCTCTCTCCCCCCTCTTTCTTTATTTTTTGGCCTATTAGCAGAAATAAATTTAATAATCATGACAGAATTCAGAGAAATGGATACTCTGTGAATTACTGGAGTTGGAGAAGTAGATAAACATACTTAACAAACCATATGGTGATGAGAGTGTAGAGCAATGAAAACTCACAGAGCTTCTGGCAAGGAAAAAGGATGTGACCAATTTGGCAATGTATCCTATGTCATGTCCACGTGAGATAGAAACTTGTAGTAGTGTTCCTTACAATAGTGAAAAATGGGAATAAAATCATGTCTATCAAGAAAAAAAGTCAAAATTTGATGATATGGTCATATAATGAATATTATGCAAACAGCTATGAAAAGTAATGAACTAGCACTTGAACCCAGAAAAGCTTAAGAGATATTATGTATGAAAAAATCAAGTCATAGGAGAAAATGTACAATATGAAGTTAAAAAACAGAACATATTCCATATGCATTATTTATGTATTGAGATATCTATACATATACATACATATACATTTGTATATTGTAAGGTAAGGTAAGGCCCTCCCGTTGTTCATCGATTTGCTCGATCGGGCCCAGTAACGTCTCCATTGGAGACTTTGTTGTTACTGTGTCTGGCATATCGAATACGTCACGGGGAGCTTGCCAGGCTCTGCCGTGCCGGGGAGATACTCTCGGTAGCTTGCCGGGCTCTCTGAGAGGGGCGGAGGAATCGAACTCGGGTCAGCCATGTTGGCTGTGTGCAAGGCAAACGCCCTACCGATATTGTAAGAATATAATTAAACCTGCATGGAACTGAGAAACAAGAAGTTGAGAACATTGATTTCTCTGTGGAAATAATAGAATCTGAGCACTCTAGATAGGGCACTTTAATGTCTTAATATTTTGTTTTGTTAAGAAAATAGATTTGAAGCAAATATGACAAAATGTAATGGTCTTATACACTGGGTGCTGGATATATAGGTATATATTATCATGCAGTAGACTTTTAGCATTGCTTGAAATATTTCATAATCAAAATGAATGGGGGAAAATGTGTATGTGCTATGAACTAGCAATTTTCCTGCTGGCAATATATTTATTTATTCTAAGGAAAACCTCACAAGTATATGTAGAGATTTGCCTACCAATATGTTAATTGCAAGTATTATTTACAGTATAAAAAACTGCAAAGAACCCAATTTAGCAATAAGGGTTTATTTAACTAGATTATGAAACTATATGTATAAGGTAAAATATAATGTAGTGCTTAAAATGATAACCAAGAAGAATATTTATTGACATAAAAAATTCTGACTAGTTAGTTAATAAAATTTACCATAAAATAGTTTTATCTCAATTAATAAAATGACATAAAATCTATTTATAAGTATAGATTCATGAATAGAGAAAACCAATGAAAGATATATACAAAAATGCCCATGCCCATAATCATTATCTCTGAATAACGTTATTGCAGATGTCTTTTCTTTTCTGGATTTTGCCTTAAAATAGATAATAGATATGTAATAGTTTTACAATTAGAAGGATTATATACTTTTAAAAAGAGACTAATGGTCTCTTTTGAGATGTAGGTAAAGTTGGTCTCAAGACGGGTTTGGTGAGATATAAGCAATGGAACAAAAAAGCAGCAGCTGCAGGATGAAGAGACAAAATCAAGAGGATTTAGAAGACTTAACTGACAATTTTGTAAAACAGATTAGGGAGGGATAAAATAAGTACAGCATGATGATTGGTGCTTTCTGACTTGGGCAACTGGGCAGTCAAGATACCAGACAAATGCTACACGAAGTTCAGATTTTGTCTGAAAGATGATCAGTGAAACAGGAAAAGATGGAAAAACTCTAGCATTTTTAAACTGAAAGGCTCCAGTATCTCACAGTGTAGAACTGGTTTTCAACAGATAATCTGTGAACTGATTTTCAAAAAGGTTGAAAATCTCTGGTATAGAGTTTCTGTATCTCTATTTCCTCCTATCTCTCAACAGGAGTCTCAATATCCTTGCTTCAAGGAAAATTGTCTCACTCTCAGTTTCTGAGTTTGGAGAATAGAAAGGTGAGTAAACGCTGATAATTCTAAGCTAGCTGTGCAAATATCATTTATCTTGCTAATGAGTGGTTAGTAATGGGCTATTTACCGAGCTGTACCAAATGGTAAACTAGGATAAGTCTACTGGGGGTTCCTCAGAAAAATTTTCTTGGCTCCTAAGTGACAGTAGTGCTAGACAGATGTCTCCTTTTCTTTGTCAGGAAGGGTCATTTCTGAAATAATACCTAGACCTTGGCAGCCATCTTTCAGTCATGTGGGAAGGTAGCCTGAAGATGGTGGAATAGACAGATGGAAATAACTTGGGCATTTGATGGTGTTTTCAGAATTCTTTATTCATCGGCTACTCAATTTTTTTATTCACCATGCTTCATGTCAGGATTTTCTAGCATTAAGCACTCATCTGAAGTAATATAGAGAATTCTGTGGAGATATACATTGACAGAACAAAAGATTTTGAGAGGAATGCTTGCCAGACATCAGAAGCAGTGTCTAAATTCTACTGAAAGTCTCAGGCAAGTTGGTTGACTTATTTAAATTGTCTTGAAATTGTAAACTCAGTATTAAATATATGTGCCATATTTAATTTATAAAAGGGCATGGTCATTTTATTTGAAATCTAAGAATATATGTTTAGAGAGTAAAAAGTAAAACTCGGCCTTTTACTCATCTACAACCCTATTCCTGTACTTAGCAATAATTGCTGTGAATGAGTTTCCTTTTAGATCTTTTACTGGACATGTATTTACACAC